CACTCACTAAATATGTTAACACAATAAAATTATCACTCACTAAATATGTTAACACAATAAAATTATCACTCACTAAATATGTTAACAATACAATAAGATTATCACTGACTAAGTATGTTAACAACACAATAAAATTATCACTCACTAAATATGTTAACACAATAAAATTATCACTCACTAAATATGTTAACAACACAATAAAATTATCACTCACTAAATATGTTAACAACACAATAAGATTATCACCTAAATATGTTAACAACACAATAAAATTATCACTCACTAAATATGTTAACAACACAATAAAATTATCACTGACTAAGTATGTTAACAACACAATAAAATTATCACTGACTAAGTATGTTAACAACTCAATAAAATTATCACTGCTACTCTACAGGTAAATATTTTAAACTGAACAACCAGCTTTTCCACTGTCTTCTTCTCTAGTTACTTGTACGACTAAAATTAAATACCTGTGTGAGAAGAGATGGTTGGATCTGCAAGGCCTGGGCTGCCTGAGCAACCACTGGTACCACGTGTTTTGCAGGCGAGTTTAATCCTTAGAAAAAAAAATTAAAATTCTAGAATAAATTTTTCAAATACCTGTAATGATGAATGACTTATAAATATTAGTGATAAATATTTTAGTTAAAATGGCACATACCCAATAACAATAAAAGAATCATAATACAAAATATTTTGAGAAACAATTTTAAAAAAGTTCTTTAATCATCCATTTCTAAGAGTAATCCACATAATAGGCTGAATTACATAACACAAACAGACAATAACTATAGTGACGGAGTGTGACAACAATACTTCCAAACATTAAATAGACTGAATTACATAACACAAACAGACAATAACTATAGTGACGGAGTGTGACAACAATACTTCCAAACATTAAATAGACCGAATTACATAACACAAACAGACAATAACTATAGTGACGGAATGTGAAAACAATACTTCTAAAAGTTAAATAGGCTGAATTACATAACACAAACAGACAATAACTATAGTGACGGAGTGTGAAAACAATACTTCTAAAAGTTAAATAGGCTGAATTACATAACACAAAAAGACAATAACTATAGTGACGGAGTGTGAAAACAATATTTCTAAAAGTTAAATAGGCTGAATCACATAACACAAACAGATAATAACTATAGTGATGGAGTGTGAAAACAATACTTCTAAAAGTTAAATAGGCTGAATTACATAACACAAACAGACAATAACCATAATGGCAGCGTGTTTATGGTCATATTATTTCACATGTAAATGAATTACATTAGCCAAAACTAATAAACCATACAACACATGTTAACTTAATGAGAAAACAGTATATAGTGAAGAGTGTTGGTGCTTTATCCACTTAGAAAATATATTTTCATGGTAAAACTGGATTGGATAAGACTGTGTAAATTGTATTTAATGAAAAAAACTAATCTACCAAAAGATGAATAAAAGATTCAAGGTAATATTGTAAGTACATGGAAGGTATTGAGGTTACGAGAGATTAGCATGAATTAAGCAATACCTTGATAAGGAGGACACAGTATTGAGGGGACACAAAGAGACTGGGATGCTTGTTGGAAAGGGTCGGCAGCTCGAGCACCAGTAGTAACGTACTGATTTCCCTGTACTGCAGAAACTCCACTGACCCTTGCTTGTGACTGTTGTTGGGGGATGTTCACTTGCTGTGACCGTGCCACCTGATTGGCTGGTTGATAGAAACTTGAAGGCTGAAGCTGATACTTCAATAAAAATAGATAAAACTAGGGTTAATATAACATCTAAATATATCACTAAAAGAAAAGTTATTATCTACGGAGGGTACCTGTTCACTTAAAATGATAAACTACACGGAAAACTGAAAGACAATTTATTTTTTATCACAAGTAAACGAAACTGGTTCAGAATTTCCATCAATTCTTCAATCTGATTTATCTTCACCCAATAATATATTTTTAAAGACAGATCTTCTGAGTTAATAAACCATATTCAACTGTTAATGGTATGAATGTCTTCTTTCAAGTAACGAAAACATAACGATATAGGTCATCAACATCAAAAACCTTAAAATTAAATCAATTCTGCAAGGCATCACAGCATCTCAATTGAATCTACTGAATAAAAAAGTTACATAAACATTAAAAACTGTAAGTTTTAATAAAACACAGAAAGAAAAAGTACTGATACACAACTACCTTCATAAAAACTTAATTATGTTGTTTTAGTGACCATGTCTTTAACAGTAAGTTACAACTAGTCATACTATTAGGAAGCCAGATTAAAATAAAATGTATCAATGAAATTTTGAAAGTCCTAAATAAAATATAAAGGCAAAGTAAAATATTTGTTAGCATCATCGAAGTCATTCATCATCGGTCAGAATTACGTCCCAAGACTTCTTTGTTCATCATCTGCTTTAATCATACATTAAAATATAATTGCTTTTTTTATATATAAACACAAAGGTAACTCGTTACAGAATATGAAAACAGAACAGTTAAACAAAAAAATATTTAATATATTTTCAAACTATTAAATCGTAATATATAACACAAACTGTTTCAAGCATTTACAAGTTGAAATGAGCTTTACCTGGTTTTGAAGATTACTCAGCTGGTTGTTAAATGTAAGAGTTACATTAGTGGAAGATGAACCAAAGTTACCCATGATCGACACTTGGTTTCCGTTCTGGTCATACGTATGTCTGTTTTTGCGACATACTTCCATCATCTGAACCGAAGCTTTCACACTGTTAAAAAAGTGGATCAAAAAATTAATTGAAATTCACTCAACTGTTCCTTTTTGATCAGTTTTATTATTTTACTTTAGAAAATAATACTTGTGAGGAGTAAAACTGTGTAAAAAACCCCAAAAACCATACATAGATTATGTGAATTTTTGACAGTTGCATAACTAGTTTAACAGATAATGTAAAAATGACCAAGTATTTTACCTCCCAGTATAGCATTAATATTTTAATGTCTTTAGTATTTTCCAGCATTTTGTTCTATCTCTGTAGTTAGTAACTTTTTTACTTAGGTGCAAGAATTTTTTATGCAGTTATTTTGGCCCAGATTGAAAATTAATAGTGATCTATATGTTGTAAACAAAAAAATCAAGATTTGAAACAAAATATTTTTGAGAATATTTTACCACAAAAAAACTGACATTTATTCTCTAGATAATAAAGTTTTATTATCTGGAGAACAGATTATTTTATTTTTATTCTAACTCTTTATGAAATACATAAAACAATGATAATAAACACTGAAATTGAAAATTCAATCAAACCAACTAGTCCAATAAATTTTAAAATAAAAATAGGATCAACGTTGAAAATGTGAAATTAATTTGTTTTGGCCAATGGCTAACATTAAAGACAATGTTTCAGTATCTTTATGTTTCCAGCCTCATCATGGTAGCATAAAGCTACAATAACATGTGAAGTCTTTTAATTTTGGCCATAGGCTAAAAAAAAATTTTTTGTCATTTTAAATGATTATCCCATTTTTAATTTAAAAAATATTGTAAGTGTCAATATATGCATACGTATCCAACAAGTCATATTTGCTTCCTATACAACCTACAAATGATTAGAAACCTTGATATAATTTCTGAACAAAAATGTCAGTTTAAAGTAATTTTTTGTTCTGATGTACTTTAACAAGTATAATGAATTCATCATCAGTAACAAACAGTTAAAAAAAAAAAAAGTAGGAGCCAGTGTTTTTTCTTCATTTATTTACATCTATATATAGACATTTAATCAGACACACACACAGTTACATTTGCTGCATGTTTTTCCAGCTGTGAAATATCTTAGGCTAGTCACAATTCTTACTTGGCACAACCAGCTGTGAAATATCTTAGGCTAGTCACAATTCTTACTTGGCACAACCAGCTGTGAAATATCTTAGGCTAGTCACAATTTT